CTCCCAGGTGTTTTCTTTTTTCTGTTTTTTTAACACTGCTCAACAGGTAGGAGTCAGGGGGCGCGGCCTAACCCGGACTTGATGCTTAGTGATGAGAAGATGAGTCACTCAGAAGTAAAAATCTTTGACCATTTCATATCCTTCCTCTTAGGCTAATTAGACTACTAAACAGGTTTTGCACCACAAAGTAGGAACATGACTGAAAAAAGACTGAAACGCCACTGGTCTACAGGTATCAGACACTTAACTTTTTTTTCAACCATATAAAGCTTTGAACACACTTTAAGGACACTTTTTATCAAAAATTTAAGCTTGAAGCTAAGTAGTGTATGTACTAGCTTTAAGCTTAAAAAATTGTTTTAAAATTAGTATATACAGTCAGGTCCATAATTATTTGGACAATGATACAGTTGTCATCATTTTGGCTCTGTACACCACCACAATGGGTTTTAAATGAAACAATGAATACCTGCTTAAAGTGCAGACTCTCAGCTTTCATTTAAGGCTTTTTTCAAAAATGTAGTATGAACCGTGTAGGAATTACAATCATTTCTTCACACAGTCCCCCGACTTTAAGAGCTCATAAGTATTTGGACAAACTAACATAATCATCAATTAAACAGTCAGTTTTAATACTTGGTTGCAAATCCTTTACAGTCAATGACTGCCTGAAGTGTTGGACACATAGGCATCAACAGATGCTGGGTTTCTTCCCTGGTGATGCTCTGCCAGCCCTTTACTGCAGCCGTCTGCACTTCCTGCTTGTGTTTTGGGTGTTTTGCCCTCAGTTTTGGCTTCAGCAAGAGAAACGCATGCTCAGTTGGATTCAGGTCAGATGATATGACTTGGCCATTGCAGAACATTCCACTTCTTTGCCTTAAAATGTCTTTGGTTGCTTTTGCAGTATGCTTCAGGTCAATGTCCAACTGCACTGTGAAGCATCGTCCAATGAGTTTTGAAGCATTTGGTTGAATCTGAGCAGATAATGGAGCCCCAAACACTTCAGCTTTCATCCTGCTGCTCTTGTAAGCAAGACAAGACTTCACTAGAATAAATACAGAGGGTTTATCACAAGATGCAAACCATTGGTTAGCCTTAAAAATGGAAGGCCAGATTAGAGTTTGTCAAAAACCATCTAAAAAGCCTGTACAGTTGTGGAACAGCATACTATGGACAGATAAAACAAAGATCAGCTACCAGAATGATGGGAAGAGAAGAGAAGGAAGAAGGAAAGGAACTGCTCATGATCCAAAGCACACCACCTCATCAGTGAAGCATGGTGGAGGTACTGTTATGTCATGGCCATGTATGGCTGCCAGTGGAACTGGTTCTCTTGTATTTATTGATGATGTGACTGCTGACAAGAGCAGCAGGATGAAAGCTGAAGTGTTTGGGGCTACATTATCTGCTCAGATTCAACCAAATGCTTCAAAACTCATTGACCTGAAGCATATTGCAAAAGCAACCAAAGACATTTTTAAGGCAAAGAAGTGGAATGTTCTGCAATGGCCAAGTCATATCATCTGACCTGAATCCAATTGAGCATGCGTTTCTCTTGCTGAAGCCAAAATTGAGGGCAAAACACCCAAAACACAAGCAGGAAGTGCAGACGGCTGCAGTAAAGGGCTGGCAGAGCATCACCAGGGAAGAAACCCAGCATCTGGTGATGCCTATGTGTCCAACACTTCAGGCAGTCATTGACTGTAAAGGATTTGCAACCAAGTATTAAAACTGACTGTTTAATTGATGATTATGTTAATTTGTCCAAATACTGATGAGCCCTTAAAGTCGGGGGACTGTGTGAAGAAATGGTTGTCATTCCTACACGGTTCATACTACATTTTTGAAAAAAGCCTTAAATGAAAGCTGAGAGTCTGCACTTTAAGCAGGTATTCATTGTTTCATTTAAAACCCATTGTGGTGGTGTACAGAGCCAAAATGACGACAACTGTATCATTGTCCAAATAATTATGGACCTGACTGTATATGTTATATGGTTATTAGAGTAAATTGATCTACATTTAGCCAACATGTAGGCGCAAGTACAAAGTAAATAGACATTTGGTTAAGTGGTGGGTTAAAAGATTTGTTAAATCAGAAATGTGGACTTTAACACAGACGAGCTTGAATCTCTTTGACCAAAAAAAAAAAAAAAGACTGACTGCATTTCTGGTACCAGGAAACTGAGCAGAGTGAGACATCACTTTTCACTCGTGACTGACTTTACACTGTCAGTCTGTCAGTGCAGATTATACTCAAGACTGAGTCACTTTGACCCAGTGTAAACAAAAAAGGGAAAAAAATACTCTCAGTAGTTACTGAGCTAGTCTAATACCAGAAAATGTCCTCTCCAAACGGCCGGTTAAGTTTATTTATTTCAAACACAGAAGACAACAAGGGTGTATCAAATAACATACTCTTTGGCTGTCACTGTACATGGATGCCTCGTCAATAAAAATAAGGCAGACCAGGTTAAGGTTAAGTGTGTAGGATTTGGGGGTATAAACTGGCAGAAATTGAATATAAGTATGTTTTCTTCAGTGTATAATCACCTTAAAATTAGAATTGTGTTTTCATTACATTAGAATGAGCAGTTTTTATCTGCATAGTGTGCAGGTCCTTGTTTTTAGAGCTCACCATGTAGCACCAAAATATTTCTACAGTAGTCCAGAACAAACAAAACAAACATTGGCTCTAAAGAAGGCTGTTGGAGTTTTTGTGTTTGTTACCTTAGTTAGCAGCCCCTTCGCAATGAGCAATGTCAGGGAGATTTCTTTTTATTGTGAAACTGCTTTAGTCTATTTTTACTTGTTAATATCCCCCGTTTTGGAGAGGAAGAAACCTCTGTAGATAATTCAGCTCACCATACAAATCCTCCTGAACAATGAACACCAAAGGAATTTTAACAAGAAGTTTCAGATGGTTGCAAACCTCATTGCTGGATGCCACTAAATCCCCCTAAATCTTACACTGGACCTTTAAAGGTACCTTGGTGCCAATGGCTGCAGGAAGACAGACCTGTTTGCACACAATAATCATAATCTCTACAGAACTTCATATTTATCTTAACAGTAAAAGCTACAAAGTACAGTCTTACTAATGTTTCAGTTATGACATGTCATAATTTCTGCTGAAAAAAACCTATTAAGTGCCATCCTGCCCAAATATGAGGTTTTATTTCCACTGTGGGCAAAAAGATAAAGACATCACCTTTTTTGAGGGGCTGGGCACATTTGAGCATTGTGTTGTGGGATATCTGACTACTGTATCTATTTTAACATTAACTTTCGAAACCTGAGCTTCGTATTTAATCAAATAAAGTTTGTCATTCTCTAACTTCTCAACAATGTGAACAATGTGTAAAAAAGTGACCAAAACACTTCAAGTGTATTTTCCAGATTTTATTGTTTTTGTACACAAAAAACTGAGGGTCTTGCTTCCATCTGGTGGAAAGTTTGAAAACCTGTAAAAGACAAAACAAATGAATTACAATACTGCTTCAAATCACTCCAGTAAAATAGATCCTCCTGATCAAAACAGTAATTTCTTTCTTAATGACAAAACCGATAAATAGTGACGCCCCCATCAAGGTTTTTTGCCACTGATCCTGATCAGTCATTTCAAATTGTCACAATAGTCCGGTACTGTCTGTGCAGTCATGAGGGCATATTGAACCAACAAGCTGAAAATCAGCCAAGTCTGATCACAAGCCCATTGACAGTTTCATCTCTATTAACCCTATGGGCCCTAGGCGTTTTTGGGGTATTTTTACTGCCTTTACTTTTAAGCTCATATCACAGTCATTCTAAAGGCTACATACACATGCTATATCTTGTTTTTTTCCAGGACAAGCTGGGCTAACCAGATTTGCCATCATTCCATGTCCTACTATGTGCCTGTATTTTATATTAATTTTTATATCAATGGAAAAAAAACAAATCTGTGTGCCTAAATTCTTACATTTTTACATGTATCTCAGCATAGCAAGTTGGAAGTTGACATATTCTACCATATATGAAGAGGGGAGTCTCTCTGGAATCTGGCAATATAAGAACCATGATGGTGGGACACTGTCACTTCACAGTTGGGTGCAGCATGTCCCCCTCAATGTATATGGTGACTACGGCCCTGTCAGCATGCATAATTAGGCCTCAGTTGTCTGAGTGCGCAAAGGTGAAGCGCGCTGGTCTTGTCATACAAAGTTTGATGGAGTGTCAACTGGACAATATGGAGATATTTGCATCTTGAAAGTCGGACTACAAATGTGGATAGACAGGGAGAAACACACGCAAGCCTAAGATGTGGTAAGATACAATATTCCTCACTATATGAAATGACTGATAACAAGATCTGTATAATGGATTGTAAAGAAATTCGTCAGGTTTTTATTTTGTAGACAATTGATCTAGATTTATAGCATGATGGGATGACAGCACAATGATGTGTGTGGTATCATTGGAAAGCTCTGCTCCTGTACTTTCATGTGATATGCGTGGCATGTCTGTGCATTCGCGAGTAATCCAGCTAAGAGTAATGTGTGTGCAGAGCTGTATGAAAGCTCTGTTATACATAATTTTAATGAATTTTTTTCGCTGTGAAAACACTGGACTAGTGACAAGTGCTTGGTCTTGTTGGAAAGCTACAATTCCACTGTTTCACGTGATATGTGTGGCTTCTCGCTCTGACGCATGGTTGCGGAGAAAATCAATAGAGAAGAACAGGTGTGAATGTGGACACACTACGCGTCGTTCGGGCCCATAGGGTTAAACCTACTGGCAATTTTTAGTATATAAAGAAATAAAACATTTTAGAGAAATGCTGTGAAATAAGGTATTTATCTTGAGCTTAGTTTGTTTAAAATGCTTCATTTGTAGTTTAGTTGCTACTGAGAGTAGATCAACTTTGCTATGTTTGTTGGCATGTTACTAACCAACCCTTATTTAGATTCTATATTCACTTTTCCTTAATTATTTTAAAACAGCTTTGTGTGCTGTTTCCACCCTTCTCAGACAAATGCCTCGATGTCTTCAACCAAAAAGGACTCTGTGCTCTGAGGAACTGGAGCAGAACCACAGAACGTGACTCTGCAGAAGTAACCCCAAAACCAGACTAGAGTCCTGTTCCGACTCGTCATCGTTTCTTCACTGAAGGGACCAAAATAAAAAAGGACTATACTGTTTATTACCTGCTTGCTGCTATTACATGGATATCCACAAATTAACTGCAAACACAGCCATAATTTTCTCACCCATGATCACTGTTTAGGCCTACACCATATAATAGCTAATTAAATTTTTACTCAGTAAAAGAGTACCAACGTGACTTAGGGTGGCTGCCTTTTAATATCACAAACCTGCCTGCTGTTGATGGGACCCTGCTAACTCTTACCTTCTTATGCGGTGGGTACAGGTGTTCCCTGGGGCATGACGGGCACCTCGGGCTTGGCCCCCTTCTGCTCAGACATGGGTGTGGTTGGCAGGTTCTCCTCCTTGGGCTCAACAATGCTGACGTGGTCAGGCAGGGGCTTCTTGGGACCAATCTTACCGCTAGGGTCCCAGGGCAGCATGATCTTGACCTTGATGCCGAGCACACCTGAGAACAACCAGCAAACACATCAATAAACATGAATTAGTACCAACAAAAACCAATGCTATGATGTACAGAGCCAGCATAAAACAGTATCCTCCTCCAAAGAATCAGTCATTAGGTCACGTAATATTTTGATGACACTTTGCAGAAAACCCTCCAAATATCAAACATCAAAGTAAAAAGATGCTTCTGTAATGTTGCTGCCGTGTCCCTGGTTGAGATGTACTCACCCTGCCTTAGCAGGACGTGGCGGACTGCTGTGTCGACGTAGTAGTTGACGGGGTCTCCGCTGTGGATCATCAGGCCATCCACAAACTTCATGGACTTGGCCCTCTGACCCCTCAGCTTACCGGACACAACGACCTCACAACCCTTAGCGCCACTCTCCATGATGAACCTCAGAACACCGTAGCATGCCCTGAAAGAGGGGAGGGATAAGAAAAGTTAACATGGAACCATTAAATCACTGAGTAAGGCTGATTCATAGTCAAATGTAGGCTACGCTGCTGTGAACATTTATACTTGTGCAGTGGTGTGTGTGCGCATCACTCTGGAACTACACCTCCAAAACACTAGTTGGCAGTGGGGTTTCTGTGCCACTGTGTTGAGCTTCTGTAAAGTGCAGTGAAATTTGACTGATTCAACTAACACCTAAACCATAGGTTCATAGTTCAAAATTTGGCTCCATTACAACTCATAGGATTCACACACAAAACAGCCGTCTTGCTGGACGGGTTTCCTCAACAAATACAACACGCTAACTTTATTAGCATAAGCCTATGACATTTCACATAGCATAAAGTAGCCTGGCAGCTAGCTGAGTTTTTCTTTACTCATATGAAGCCAGGAACAACCGCAACACTTAACCAAGACAATGTTAAAAAATTGGCTCAATTATAACTCTTGCCTGGGTCTAGACATTTGAAACAGCCCCCCTCCACTAAGTTCAAGTTGCCGGATTCATTTGGCATCAGGACATGAAAAGGATTTTCTTGGTTAAATTAAAAGATGAGCAATGAGTGCAGCGGGGAATTTATCAGCGCCACAGGCAGAACTAACACTGTTGTCATGCTGTGCTAGAACAAATAAGGAGCAATAATAGTGACTCCTATAGACAGATAGAGGCTGTTTCCAAGGTTGTTCTAAATCAATGTCCTGTTCTTCACATCGCCTGACATTAGTTTGTTGTACTTCGCCCCACTCCTGAAACCCTGGTAAAACAGGTATGTTGGCATGACTGTGCATCCATGTGGACTTAAAATGACTTTAACCCTCTGCGGTCCAGAACCGCGCCGGCGCGTCAAAATCACGTGACCGATTTGAGACGACGTAGCAGCAACACGCAGCCTCGCTGAGTCTCCGTTTCATTTTGTGTGGAAAGTGCAAACTTCAAACTTTGTACCACTTTTTAAATCATCTTGATAGGCCATATAAAACCGGACTTATGATAAATAATAAACGCCATGATTTTCCTGAATATTTTTGTCACATTTGATCCGCATTTGATGCAGGAAGAAACGGTAAAAGCGGGCCGTTCGGCCCGACGAAAGTGCTGAAGGCAACAGCAAAAAAAACCAAAAAAAACGACACCCCCTTTCCTATTGGTTGAAAAATGCACCACGTCAACCAATCACAAAATTTTATGGCAACACACATCATTTGTTCCTGGGGAAGAGGGGGAAGTTGTGGGAGTGACGGCAGCGAGAGAGACCGCGATCGCGATCACAGATAGAGTTGGGATTTGTGACGTTTAGCGTGTTTGGAATGTATACTTAGTGTGTGGTGTAGTGTGTTTTGGAAGAGGAGAGAGGAAAATGAGCCTCCAACGACCGCATTGAGCGGTACTCGGAGGTCCGCACAGAGGAGCGGACGGTGTGGCAGGGCACGCCCACCAGGTCCGGATCTCCGTTTGCTCAGGCAGCAGAGCCACACAGTGTGTGTCACTCCTCCTGTTGTCCTACTGTTGTGTCCTCCTCCTGTAGTGTGTTGTGGTGGACAGGAACTGTTTTTCAGAGTGGCACAAATAATTTGTGTAAGATCACGTAGGAGAAAAGCAAGCACTCTCAAAATAAATCCCCTAGAAAGATGCATGGCCAAAAACAGCAACAAACACAGACATTTTGACAGAAAGTCTTCTTCTATGAAAAAGACTTTCTGTCAAAATGTCTGTGTTTCTGGTACTGCCACCCAAGTTGGTTTATTAAATTTACCAAAAGGACATTTGTGAGTGCTGGCATTTTTCCCTTTGACAAATAATTTGTGTGACATCTCATTGTTTTGTAAGTAGGCTAGTTGTTCAAAAACGCCTGAGGCATTTTAATGTAAATAGTTATATATAACGTTGTTGTTTGCTAAATTAGGACATATGTTTTTGAAGTTTACAATTTATATTTTTATTCTAAGTTACACAAATGGTTCGTTAGACATGTTTGTAGTTTTCACAGTAAAAAATCTAACTTTTTCCTACTCGGATTTTATGTTTTTTATGTGATTTTAGGTCCAGTGTGTTAATACAGTATGTCAAAATGAAAAAATAACTGTAAAGTCACACAGGTGAGGTTGTGCTGAAAAGAATGATACCAAACAAGGCAAGGTAAACAGTTTTTTTAAGGTGAAATTTAAAGGTTAAATGAAAACTAGTCAAAAACGGCCAATTACCCCCTAGACCCCATAGGGTTAAATGGAGGTGTAAACATTGATCTCTAGTGGGGTTGCAAAATGTAAGCACTTTTCTTAATCCATCATTGGTAACATTAACAAATAAACTGATTTAAAAAAAATAATTACTACCAAATGTGTTTTTCTCAAAGCTCATAACATATTGCATATTCTCTGACACTACTGCATAGCATATGACACGTTAAGGCCTAGACATATGAAACACTGAATATAACGGAGTAATACTTTGCTTTGCCCGACAACGCATAGTTACATTTCTGGGGAGGTGAGCATCAGGCTACACTGCAGGTACAGCGTGATCAAACGCAGACATAAAAACCCTGCTTTCCTGTTATTGTTGGAAAATGAAGAAAATGTGTCAAGAATCCAGCACTGATGAAGATGACAGCTTTAAGCTCTGTTTAAACACAAGGATTTAACAGCGATGTAGCTACCACCTGTGCATATTTCTGTAATTAAAATATTTTAAGTAAATCCTGTGAAAGCAAGAAAGAACTTTGAGTTTCACGTGGGTGTAATTTAATTCTCTCTATACTTAAAAATGCAACCAGGTTGTGTGTGCTGCTTTGACTTTTCTCAGGCAAATGCCTCAATGTCTTCAACCAAAGAGGACTTCCTGCTCTGAGGAACTGGAGCAGAACTACGAAAAAGGAATCTGCACCAGTCACCCCCAGAACCAGTCCTGTTGCAGAAATGGACAAAACTGAGACACTAAACACTTCACCCTTAAGGCAAACATAATGCTCCATACAACAGATGCCAGTTTCTGCTAAGAACTTTACTGAATCACCTATGCAGAAATATGTCATACTCACCACCTTCAGTGTCCATGCCTGGTTTATTTATAAAACATAAACCTAGTCTCTGTTTATGGTCTGCTTACTGATATGAGACTGATTTTCTACAACTGTGGACAGAAACCCCATTTTGTTTACAATGCTATAAGATTATGTGCTAAATTAATATACTTTTCCTAAACATCCAGTCACAGCAAAAGCTGTATTACAAGCTTTGGCTCTAGCAGCAGATAATGCAGATAATCTGAGTACTTCTTCCACCAATGTACAGCACTACAGTCTACAACTTTTGTGCTTCCAGAAGATCCAAAGAACTCCAGAGAGTGTCAGAGCCAAAACATCAGAGTAACCATAGAAACTTACTATAACTGAGCTCTGCAAGTAAGGGAGACACTGCGCTTGCCTGATATTGGACAGAATTGTCAAGTTGGTACAAAAGAAGTAGCCTACACATTATGAAGAAAGGAAAAATCATCTTTAAAATAGAATCATTGGAAGTGCAAGGAAATGTTTCAATTTCAGTTCAACAGACCTATCACATCAGAACACTACTTAAAAGAGGGAGGAAAAGAAATTAAAATGAAAAACTGGCTTGTTAAGTCATGTTTTGCCATGTCAACATAGACATTCTTGCTTTGCTGGGTTTTTAAGAGTAGAACATAGTTAAAAATAAACCACAACAATATCAGGTGGGACATCAAGGCGAGGAAGAAAAAGAGTGCACTCCGTTCCAAATGGTGACCAGTCAGAGTTTTAAAGAAAGCTCAGCAATTTCTTATACCAATACTTTGGTCAAAGTAAAATATAAGACAGCATCATCAGCGTCACTTATTTAAATTTCAAGGACTTTTAAAGCACTTAATTTAAAAAAAAGGGGGCTATTTTCAAAGTATTTCAGTGCTTGATCCCCCCCCCCCCTCAATGTTCAAGCAAGTACTGCAGGGTTCGCACAAGGTGCGAACCCTGCAGTACTTGCTGTCACTGTGGGCTATTGCCTAAATCCTGGTGTGTAATAGCACAACAACTGCTTGCTAAGTAACATTAATGATATGCAGGGTTTCCACACACTTTCATAGACAAAATTT